AAATTACTACTCATCTTACTTCTTATTGATATAATAACGAATCTTTAATTCACGTTTGACGTACATCAATACAATTTGACTAGAAAAAAAAATCTGAGATTTGGCTTTGCTTTATCGCCCGAAGCATATGTACGACGATCGAACATTTAAGTGACTTTTAAATGACGTTAAACGACCGGAAAGACAGAATTTCCCCTAAAGAGATGTTTCCGAGCGCAACCTGACTAATACAGACTGCGCAGGAGGTGGCGACTGACAGGGCGGCGACCCTCGCACCCGGCACCCGGTACCCGGCATCCGGCACCCGCCAACCGGCATCCTAGCACCCGGCGCGACGTCGGTTTCACGGTTCCGGCACGAGGGTGGCACCTTCCACGATGATAAAACCGGCGATCGATAAGAAACCGCGCGAGCGACAACCGACGCCGCGCGGCATGGTATTTCGCGAGAATCGCGAAAAAACGTGAAAAACCCGCCACTTCCGACGATAGTCAAAATATGTAAATTTTCCTAAGGATGCAAGACTCACCGCTTGGAATTGCTCCAACAATTCCTGCCGGTCGTCGATCGTGGTGGCCATGTTGTCCGAATATATAGTCCTTCCGCCTTTCCTTTCTCCGCTGCGGCACTCGATCGTTGCTTCTTCGTCGCTCTTTCACGCCCTTCGGTTCACTCCCTCTCGCACTCTTTCGCTCTCTTCCTCTTTCGAATCGTCCGTCCTTCTCGGCTCGATGACTCGCGTATATGCGGTATACGTCGTGACACAATGCGGCGCGCAACGTGCGGCACCGTGACAATCCACGAATTTTTTCACTCAATGTTTTTGCATGGACGCGAACGCGCGATACTCGATACCGACCGGAAACGATTCGGCCGCTCGGTTCCGGCAAAAATGTTCTTGGAATCTTACAGTCAGCCAGTACCACCAAGTACGAGGTAACGTCCAACGCAAACGGAGTCGCAGCTAGGACTGCGTGTGAGCGGCGAGCGGTGCTCCGACCACAGCACACGCAGCGGCAGCGCGCGCCAGCGAGCCGACCGTCGCCGAGAACGCACGAAGCGAAACGTTCGGTGATCATCGGCGATACGTGCCCGCCGCTGCCCGTCTCGACCCCGCGACCCGCGACCTCGCTCGCGGCCTCGCCTGTTTGTGTGTGGTGTGGCTATGTATCTATGGTGTGTGTGTGTGTGTGTGTGTGTGTGTGTGTGTGTGTGTGTGTGGTGGTGTGTGTGTGTGATGTGTGTGTATATGTATGTGTGTGCGCGCTATGCCAAATTCCGCTGAATTTAATATCGTTCAAAGAACGATCACTAAATTATTATTTTCAACATCTTTAATTTACATACTACTCAATTATTGCAGCACGATTTCAATTGAACTTTAGTACAAACCGGAAATAAATACGATTGAATAATCGATTCCAAATTCGCGAAACTGTATTCCTCGGATAATAATGACTACGAATATAGCTCTTTGTTGTCGCACTTTGCACATTTGTTGTATACTTTTTTCTTTCTTTTTGTTCTAAAACTTTTTTGTTCTAGAATATACGCGTATTTGTTATGAGAAAAGAAAGTTTAAAATATTTATATAATCGATATGTAAGGCAACTAAGGCTAAATGAAGTTGTTTATTCTTTACATATCGAAAACCCAATTTTGAAGCTCTCTTCAAAATCGCAACTAGCTTCAATTTGATGCAGAAATTTCAATTTCGAGAAAGCGCGAAATTTGAATTTGATATAGACCGTGTCATTTCTCAAAGAAACATCTTTTCCTCTCATCTAATTGCCTCGGAAATAAAAACATAAACTCGCATGTATTTAAAATGCTAATCAAGATAAACCAATTATATTACATATACATAAGAATCGCAATGTTCACTAAAAGCGTAGTAAGACAAATTCGCGGTATCGCCGTATAATTCGTAAGAACGCAAAGCAAGACCACGCGGCGATGACTCATTTTTCACATGTAAAGTAGTAATGTATGCCGGGTCGGAAAAAATTTAGGTTGACTCACTCCTATCATCGTTAAAGCCAGTCTGTCTGCGTACCGATCGCGATATCGAAACACATCGCGCGACTACGTGAAATAGTAATTTAATTCGTTTGCAGTTATCATCCCGTTTATCTAGATAAATATATGAAAAAGTCGGTCACATACATAAAGAAGAAAAAAAGTTTTCTCTGTAAATGAAATCAATCCGAATTACGACGAAATTATATATTTAAATTATACAAGGCTGTTAAATAATTTGCATTAAAAAAATCTGTTCGATAACAGACTCGAGCATCCTTTTCGAATATGTCATATTGAGCCAGAAATTCATATCTTTCCTGACTTTTCATGTTCCTCGTCTCTTTATTGACATTCTATTTCTCCCACCACATTGAATACGCTTCCACGGACATCGACCCCTTTTAAATAATGTTACCTCGCGGGGGATAGAGATAAAACCGTTCTGAATTCTTCAGAGGTTTCATCTCACAAAGTTACTTTTTAAGTTTTCCCAAAAACACTCGCGCGTATTAATATAAATCATACAAAAGTGTAAATGTATGTTCGCGATAAAAGACATTACATAAAATTTTTTAACAATATAAAATTATTTTTACTAAACCTTCTTTATAAATAAAAAAGGAAAGATCCTTAAAAAATGCAATTAAGTGTAGTTTTTAATTTTTTACAATTTACAATTAAAGATATATAATAATATATATAAATATATAGTGAGATAAGCCATAATAAAGACAATATCGGACATTGAAAACAAATATAAAATAATATCAAGAATCTAATCGAATAATGCCAGAGACTCAAAAGTATGAAATATCACCGAGAATTAGATAACGATTTCTTTGACGTCAAGTGATTTATTGATAGATACATCTACGATAATATGTGCAACAAGAAGTAAATCGCTTTCTTATCGAAAAGAGCGCTATTTGTCATAAATAAGACCCTATTGCAAAGTGATATATTTTTATCGCTACATATATTAAGTTAGCCTTCGGTCACAAAATACAGAAATCTTGGTTTTATATAGTTCTTTGATAACAAAGTACGCATCGATTGAAAATTTCAAAATAAGAGTTATGGTAAAAATACAAGAGACGTAAAAAACATAAATTTACGATAAAATACCAAAATTATTCGTAATATTCGCTTAATAAAAGAGAAAAAACTGAAACTTTAATAACAATAACCTATATGAAAAAAGAAACTATGCTGAGAACGAAAAATCATATTTCAGGGATGAAAATTCTAATTGGCGAAAATATCTCTTCTCTCAAAAATTACTTGCAAACCATCCCTCCAAAAATATAATTTCCCCTATTTAGAAAAAAACTTCGTTGTGTGTGCGTGTATGTGCATGTGGTGTATTTACAAAAGTAGCGTAGTGTAAAAATGTAATATTCACTTTATCATTCAATGAACTAAATAATTTGCAATTTCCATTAATTTAATACGCTAATTTGCACGAATATCTCAAGTTACGTTGAGAATGTTGATACTAAAGTGTTTGTGCATAACAAGAAAGTTGATGCACGTAATGTGTTAGAAACGCATATAGGCACTTGCCTTAGATATCTAACAAGTAATGACAAGTAATTAATAATGACGATAATTCGAAATGACACAGAATATATACGTATTAACGTACAATATTCTAGCTAAATATGTAGGTCTGATAGTACCGATTTTCCGTTCCGATAACGCAATATTAATTCATATTAAAGATAAAAAATTGCCCAAGACAAAATATTTTAATTTTATATAGATTTCGCGTTTTCCTCCCCTATTTTTAATATTAAAACGGCATTGATGCACGTTATTATATCAAAGAGAGAAAAATAAGAGCAAGGCAAAAATACAAGAATTGAAACGTCAACGATTAATGTTGGCGTTCTTAAAAATGCTGTCATTAGAAATCTATTGCGTTACCTGCGTTACATCCAACAACAATCGAAATTATCGATTATTGTTGAGTCTTATTAATCTATATAAAAATATATGTGTACACGTCTCATCGATTCTTTGTTTCACAGCCTGTTTTAAATGAAAGGTAGCATACTCATTGCCGACATATATAAGTGGCTAGAATTTATTAATAGAGTTGTATTCATGTTGCAATAAATTCTATTATACTCGAATTCTTCGACTCGGTCTTTATTCTCTTATGCTATAATTAACAATAGAATACGGAGAATATAATTCTCCGTATTTATTAGCAAAGCTCATTTATCAAACGTCAAGATCTATTCGACAAGTATACAATTAAATTTAAAACACACTGTGTTATGATTCAATTTTTTCGGTTTTGGTTTTCACACAGAAAACTCAAAATTCTTTAATTTATTAAGAGGATAATTGTACAAAGTTCTTTCCCTCAAATTTATTCAAGATTCATTCGTGTGATTTAGTCTAGGATAAAAGTTTATATAAAAACACTCTGCATTCCACACTGTATTTGCATTAGATCGACTCTTTTATAAAATTAATACAAATTTTGTATAACAGTTTTTGTTGAATAACAGTTAAAGAAATGAATACGAGTCAAATTTTAAACATGAAATTAAACCAAGGCATATTCATGCTCAATTTAACTTTCAGCTCTTTGATAAAAGATTCCGTAATACGGAGAATAATAATGATTCTCTTGGTGGAAAGTCAATGTGCTTGGCTTATCGCAAAAATCTACGTTCTTTATAAAAGGCTTCTCTAATAAATCTGCAATCTAATAATGTATCTTCTTAACATTATTTGATTGTGTACTCTATTTAAAATACAAACTAATAATCTTATCATCTGTAGTGTGTATTGTGAGACATTTCGTAAAATTACTGCATTTAATATAATTCAATAATTTAATTTTGACAACTACTTATAAATATTTTTAAAGGATAATAAATCAGAATCATTATTTATTTTTATTTAAGAAATAATATAGAAAAAGCAAAATTGAAAAAATAGTTATTATATACAGGTCGATGTTATGTGAATATTTACATGAAAGATATTTATTATTTTTCTTTAATTTAAGTCAAGGAACATAATGATAACAGAATCAATATTACTGCTAGAAAATAACGATGATAAGACGCCGAGAAGATATAATAAAGAAAATTGTAGAGAGAATTATAGAATGAGAAAAGAATATAAACACAAAACGTACGATAGAACTATTTAGCCTCTGCAAAATTGACAATTATTATTATTTCGGGAAGGCAGAGTAGATATGCTATTTATCTGCTTGTCTTAATTGTTTCCTTTTATTTTATACAAACTATAGCTTATATATTTACTCTATATTCTGATATATTCTAATATCCTAACATATGTATATATCTAATAATCGTAATACACACATCTCTCAGTCTATTCTGTACATACAATTGGCGCAAAGGAAAATCCTCGCTTGTCGCTTTGTGCGCCCCACAGACATTTTAAAGCCGATACAAAAGATTGATAGATACTTCGCCATTATAGCGCAACACCACGTATTGGAACGCTTGATTGCGATAAATCACTACATCGAAAATATCTCTGCAGTGTATCATTCGGTTAATCGGCTTATAATTTATTCCGATTTCAGGATATTTCCAATGTTAATAGATAAGATAACACGCACTATAGACCGTGTTGTTAAGATCGCTGCAAATTATGTAATCGTTAATTACTTCGCAGAAGAAACTGCTCTGTTCTATTATTCGGTTAAAGGAGCGATATACACAAGATTAAAAAATAGAAATAATATTCCTTTCTACGGATTGATTACAAAACTATAAAGAAAGCGTACATCACGGTTCATCCGTGATTTGTCCGCTGTCGAGGTGAAATGAAATCGATTGATTTTTCGTAAAAAGAGGAAAAAGCAATCCCACGAAACAATACAGATAGAAATAAAACGAATATTTTCGCAGTCGTGCGTATTAAGATAAAACGGGCGCTGGTATCCTCGTACAATTGAATTCCGAGAGCACGCGCACATGTATGTGGAAGCACAAAAATAATTTTCTGATATGCATTGTGCAGCGTTGTCCCTACTCGTGAACGAAAATTTCGTAGATCAGATATAAATGCAGATCGATGAGTGACTAGCGATGCATCTACTAGCATCTAAACATATAATTCCCGCAAACACAAATGAAAACCGCAGTTGGTAGGAATTGTTCACCAAGTGTAATCGCCGTCGACTACGCTTAATAATACTTTGCATCTTAAGTTCGCTTATTCGCTCATAAGCTGTACTTAATTGAATAATGACCTGCGATGCCGATAATTTGGTAGATGATGAAAATCGATGACGATTAACGTTAAGTTTGCATCGCGAATTCGTAGATCGAGTCGCAATTATCGCAAACGCTCCTCGTGCAGAGCTAACAGACGACACGAAGTGGGTTAATGAATCCTAGGACGAGGGATGTTGTTTTCCTAGACACCCGCTTCTGTGTCGGTGGTGCTGCCGTGGTATCCCTGAGGCTGAGAAAGGGAAAGAAGTGCATCCAGGCCTAATGATTCAGCCGGATCTGGCGCGGATCTCGACTATAATATTTAACACAAAAAGACTGCCGCTAAAATTATAGTCGAGTGTATAACCAACAAAACAATATAACGAAGACGGAAAAGAATAGAATTTTGTCGAGTTAAATTTTGTGTGATTTGGGACATTTACATATATCCGCTGACATGCATATTTATTATACTTATAAAATAAAATGTGAAATGCGGCCGATAATGTACACGATGATAATATACATAATCCGACAATGTACACAATTTTATGAATTTTACAAAATAAAAAGAAAAACGGTAAACGGTACATATTACGTTTTGCCGAACACTTTTTTTCTTACCGATGCATTTTGATCGGCTTCTTTACAGTTGCTACAAATATAATCGTCTTCTTCCGCAATTTCTGTACGATCCAATCCAACACAATGCATATGGAACCAACCTTCGCAGCCACCATCACACTGAACCCAATCAACTTCCTTACCTAAACAACAAATAAAATAAATACATGTTGAAATATAGATAAAATAAAAATATAATTTAAGAAACGAATGAGGGTATAATCAAAATACTATTAACTCAAATATACAAAAATTAATTCATACACAACATATTTGATATTATATGATCAAAAAAGTTATGTACACGATCATTGGCAATATGATGTTTATTACTGACATTATCCATATATATATGCATATATTATGACATATTATTATTGTTATTATTATTATTATTATTATTATTATTATTATTATTATTATATATATATTGAGAACATTTGTAACGCTTAAATATCATTAAAACCATGTTGCGAATATATCGTAGACAATATCCTTACCACTAGGCCGCAGGCAATTAACCGCCGCACAATCGTCGTCTTCGTCCGAACTTTCTTGCTTGGTCTTCTTTGTGCGATTACCGCCTCGCTTTCTAGGACCTTCTTCGCCCTCACTCTTACGTTTCATCTGCAATTTACATTTAACTGAAATCGAGCTGTCCCATGTTTGCAAAATTATAAATTGCAACAACTCTCATAAATCAGAAGAATGCCTCGAATTTAAACTTTCTATAGTCATTGACTCATTGTTAAGAAAACTGATGTAGAATTATATCCTCTCTTATCATGGATATTTAAAATTATTATATGGAAATTTATTACTTTATAAGAAAATTATTTTATTGATATAAAAGATTTAATTCGAGATATGTGACAGTTTCCGGAAAATAGAGAATAAACTATTACCTTTCGAGGTCCACGTTTTACGGGAATCGGCGAACTGCTCTGCCTCTTTTCCTTGATAGTGATAGGACCACCGCTTTTGCTACGTTTAACTATGTTTTTCTCATCGATTTTCTGCCGTCCCATTTTTTTAAGTAATTCAAAATCCTCTGATTTCCTTTTTCTACCTCGTTTTTTCACGTCCTTTATCTCCTGATTGATATTCGCTTGGACTTCTTCGAATGACTTGTATTTCCGCATAGTGTTGTGACTATTCATATGACTCAAGATACGCCATATGTGTTGCGTTTCATCCAATGCCACTTCTAATAAATCGCCTTCCATCATAAGTTCTTCCAAACGTGATCTCGCATTAGAAGATAATATGCCACATAACTCGCTGTCATTTGTTTGAGTTTTTCGTCGAATTTTCGAGACTGAAATGGTAACATAAGACGTGATTATTTTCTGATCATATATTTCAAATATATTACTATATATTTATAGCAATTCGAGAAACTTACTATATGAATATGCATGTTCGTTGCTATTAAAAGTACTGCATGTTGGTTCATCATCCAAGGTAACAACATCGTCATCGTCATCCTGAAATTATTATTATTATTATTATCATTATTATTGTTATTATTATTTATGAGACGAATCGTTTATAATAAATTAAAATAAACATTACGAATCATGTAGCAAGCAATACTCACAGCAGTACTAAGTGTGCTATCATCCGAATGCACTCCACTAAGAGGAGCGATAGCCTGCACTCTCTGATGCAGTTCGGGATTATTAGCTGCCTTTTTCAACTCGCTGCTGATAATCTTTTCTGTTTTTTCTCTCGCCGCAGCTTCCACTAATTTTTGTGACATTACTGAAAGTTTCGCTAGTATCGACGAGATCTCTTCGGTAGCCAATGCTTGTCTCGCTCGATCCTAATTAACATATTAACACTTAACTAATGGTATCATTTATTTAAAATGATATGTGTGTAAAAATGATATGTGTTTGATAAGAATCTACCTGCCAATTCATCGCACGTTCTGTTAAACATTGTAACGCTTCTCCCTCTGGCAATCGAATCGGAATTTTTTGAAGGCTTACTAAGAGAGCCAATATAGTTTCCAAACGTGGTCTTCGAGAACGTAAACAACACGGACACAAAAATTTCATGTCTCTTGGCCCTGGTGGTTTACCTTTGTATGATGTTTTAGGCAAAGGCACACAATTTGCTATAAAATACAAATTTATATGCATCCACACACTCACGTATATATATATAAAATTAAATATTACCTTTTATTATTTAAATTGCTGTACTTACTATGAAACCAATCTTTGCAAAGTTCACACTGGAGCATAATGCCGAATCTTGGTCGCCGGCAAACACAATACTTCGAATCTTCTACTTCTGCCTTCATCTTCATCAAGTTTCTTTCTCTTAAACTTCTCATCGCCTCCATTTCACGCTGTTCCGCTAGCTTAAACGCAGCTACTACGTTCGCTGAATTGCTAGAATCGTCCAATTTCGTATCACAGACATAAACGGCACCTACAGACTCATCGCCTTTATTCTTCTTAGTTTTCATCGCTTGTACGCCAACGCCGATTCGCGGCGACAGAGCTTCCATCAGCGTATAATGCGAGTTTTTCCTTAGAAATGTCCTTGCGGTTCTTTCTTTCCATGTTTTCGCTTGCGAGAGAGTAGATTCCAACATTGGAAGAGCATCTAGATGCAAAGGGATATTTCTTCCCTTTCTTAACAAATCATCCAAAGTGTCATAGTACGGAAAGATTTCTCTCGCCTGTATGTCGTCGATCAGTTTAGTCCAATTCTTTGCTTTGTTCAATATATCTTGAAGAGTATCCAAACTCGGCAAATACGCCTCAACTTCGTCTGCTTCGCGAATAAATTCTTCTACGGCCGCGATAGTTCGTCTATTTTTGGTATTCAGAAATACTTTAGCTTTTTCTTCCCATTTATCGATCGCCTTCGTTAACGCGTGCAACTCTGACAATGTATTTTCGATACTAAAATGAGGTGGTATTGTCATTCCTTTTTCGATCAATTTGGCTACTTCTTCGCGACTGACAGATTTTGGATCATCTTGGAGGGATTTCACTTCTTCTAGCCATTGCATCTGTGCTAGTCTCTATAAAATAAAATTTTTTATTATAATAATAATATATAACTTTTAAAATAAATATACATCTGTATATGTTAGTTACATACTTGTTTCAACCGAACTAACTGAGGCAATTCAATACAGATAGAATCACCAAAGTCGATACATTTCTCTAATTTCTCAATGTCGCAATCATCTTCTTTGGATTCCAATTCTGCTGCGTCTTTTTGGAATTGTAATACTTGATCGAGTATAAACTTTACGCCATCCGATTCCTTAAGTTCACAATACAAATTGGTTATTTCTTTATAGAAAAGTGTCAATTCTTCTACAGTAAGTTTATACTTGGTATCAACTGTTTGCCTAGTTCTGAAACAAAAAATTATGTAAAAGCAAATAAAATTATAGGTGATAATACTGAATGTCTCGCAATAAAATGTTACGCTTTATTAACGTACCTTGTACGTTGTTTATTGTTTAATAGCTGTTGTGCAACACTCGCGCATTTCTCGGCATCTTGCACAGCGGTTGTTAAAGCCGTTAGCAGTTCGCTCTCTGGAAATTTCTTGTTCTCAGCTTCATTCAAAAGTTCTTTTAATTCACTTAGTTCAATTTTGTCGTTTTTAGGATCCATCGCCTCCTTTACTTTAGTCACCCATGAGTCAAATGACTCAGCTTTCAATTTCAATTTTTGCAGCATGATTGGTAACTCGTCCAATGTATATCGGTAACGCAGCGTATGCTTTTCTGGTGGACAGGTACACAAATCAGCAAAATGTCTGAGACAAACTAACTGCGAGCTGTGGCACGAACATGTAACCGCACTCAGGAAACAGGTAGTCTTGCATGCTTCACATTGTCTCTCGTCATCTGGTAGAAGCTCGAAAGCCTCACGTTCCGCCTCTGTCACACCCTGAACAAAATAAGTTATCCGGATTCACAAATATAATAAATCTAATCTCTGTCTAATTTACTCTAACAGAGCTTTAAACAAAACACTTGACGCGCAAAGAAGAACGCAAACAGTAACAATATTGATTCGAAAATCGTATTTCACTGGAGCACACGTATCCATCTGTGGAGAATAAACGCAACGTATATGGCGGGACCGACGCGCTCACGCGATCAACGCGACGTACCGTCACCAAGATTTGGCGCGCCAATATGCACGACCACTCAAATTTTGCAAAACAGCCAGGCGAAAACAGAGCTACGCGTTTAGCATCATGGCACAAGGCTTTGAAAACATAACCTCTTCACTCGTCAATATGCAAGTTATATAACTAGGACGAAGGCGCAGCGAGAAAGAATCGGCCAGTCAAGGACACTAGCCACGACTGCGAAAATTATTTCGACCATGAAAACGCAGCACGATAACAGCAGATTCAATCGAATCAACAACGATGGAAATACGTGGCGGCATTAATTGCGTTTGTAACGTGGACAGACACGGTTCTGCTCCAAATGCTCCAAATGGTTGACGATCCCACGGGGATGCGTATACGTATGAATTTTGCCGCGCGAGCCGCATGTGCGTGAACGTATTATGTATGTGCGAGTACGCGCGCGTGCGTATGCGTGATTAGTGAAATAAGCGCGCGCGCGCGCGCGCGCGCTATTGGTCACGTAACTACTACTTGATCTAAATATATCGACCTTTCGAATGTATCGCCAGAATTCGTACGTTAGATCTTTTCCGTTGAAAACAAGACTGTATTCATATTCCATATTTTTTTTTAGCACGATTGTTGAATCTCAGCCTTGAAAATTCAGTTTTATTAGTTACATCAAGTACAAATTGTACTTTCACGTAAAATCTAAATGTAAAATTAATAATTGCATTACATATCAGATATGGAACATAAATATGAATATGGAACATAAATAACATTCTTTTTGAACTTTTGAAATACAGAATATTCTATTCTGTATTTTTAATGATTACAAATATATAAATAAAAGAATAATCAATTATCAAGTAATAATATTATAGTGATAAGAAAGATAAAAATGTAATTAGATTCATATTTTAAATTAATAAAAAAATATTAAATATTTATATGATGAAAAAAACAAATAACTAATAGTAAAAAAAAGTTGTTAAATTTTCATCAAAAGATTGTAATGTTTTATAAAATACTATATGGGAGTCTCTTATGTAGAAATTTAATATTTTAAATATTGACAAATTCTTACCCATTCTAGCAAGTTTTTTCGTAATTTCTTCTCATCCTCCACCATTTGCAACATATCATGATACGTGGCGGTTGCGACTCCAATATCTAATGAATCCGGATCTAGTGACATCTTACAAACTAGTTCGTCGTGAGAAAACACACAGAATCTCCTTAAATTTGAATAATGTGTGATGCATTCTCGTCCGATTTTAAGCTAGCGACAAAAATATGTGATTGAGTATAATTTATATAATTTTTATATAATAAAGTATAATAAAGTTTGAATTTCTGAATATTGTGATGTAATTGCACTTAATTTATTCGAATCTATCACAATTTACATACCCAATCTGCAGGTGCAAAATTGACAGCTTCTGCAAAATTGTAACCTTGATTAAAGCCTGCGTGATACGCTCTCGGAAATGTTACGACAAATTCACCCGCGTGTTGATCCGTTCTAAAGACCGGTACTCCTGTTAATCACAAAATTACATCAACATCGTTCGATTTCGAGTTGTCAAAATTTTAATTTATGTAAATAACACACGATATACCTTCGCTCGTTAATATGTTTGGATTCATGATAGTGACAAGTTGATGTAACAGATCGGGCTGACTATGAAACAGCTCCGGTGCGGCGGATTTCATGGATTGTTCAAAGCGTTCCGCTTGAGACCCCGGCACACCATACCACGTCTTTGGTTCGCCCCAGTGTAGATAATTAATGGAATAACTCCAATGATCCTCGTTGTGCCAGCAAAATGTCGCGAAGCACATGCCAACGTACATCCAAGGAACTTTCATGCCACTGATATCGGCATTAATGTGGCCTAGAACGCTTCCACGTAAGACTGGTAAATTATTTAGATTCCATGAAGATTCGGCATACTCTTGATCGCAAGTGAATAAATTAACGCTGGTTTTAGTTGGAAATCCGGACCCATGATCCATCGTATGCAAATCGGCACCGTATTCTACAGTTACATCTTCGTCGATGGACGAGACTATTCGCCAAAATTCCTTTTCTACTAGCGATGTTGGGACCATCTATAAACATTTTTTTGTCAAGTATATAATAAAAATAATATAATAATATAATAATGTGAGTATAATGAGCAACAATAAGATCTTACATGTACAGGCATATTAAAGTAGTCGCTTTTGAATTGATCGGCCATTTCTCCAAACTGCTGCAACGTGTATTCTCTCTGTGCTTGTTCAAAGCCGAATGCTTCCATCGGCTTTGAAACCTCTTCCGCGACACACTTGGGACATCGCCAGTCACCTTTTGGTATTTCCGTCAATGGTGGCATAAGGCAAAATGTGTGATAACTGTCATCGCAACCGTCACACAACAACATATTTTCTTCATTATCGCCTCTCCCGCAATTGTGACAGATATATTTTGCCAACTATACGATATAAGTACAAACGAAAAAAAGATGATATTTAATTCAATTTTATAATTTCTTTTTTATATATACAATTAGAAAAATATTATAAATAGATTACTAAATAATATTTACGGGATCAAAGTCATAAACGAGTTTCAAGCCGCGCGTTTTATTGGATTTTTTTCCCTCTTTGGTATTAAAACCGGCCATTTTCGGGCCTGGTCCGTAAAATTGTAATTTCTTAAGTTCTTTGCTTTTATCTGTATCACAACCAAGATGCCTGCTTTTAACCTTATCCTTGCATTCGTTATCCGAGTCGCATTCCTCCTTGCAATCCTCCTGTTTGATTGATACATCTTGCTTCTCTTCTTGCCCTGAGAATCGCTTAGATCGCCTTGAAAATTTCTCGTTTGGTGGTTTAATTTGCTGTCGAGATATTATGCCATGTGGTTTATAATCGCGATCCCTCTTCTCATTTACATCCGAGTCTGGTTCAATTTTCTACATGAAATAAAATATAGAATTGAAAATGATTACAAAAAATAATCATGTAATTATATTACTAATTTAAATAAATTATAATTAAATTACAAATGATTTTACGAGAGAATATCAAATTAACATCAATACGCGAATAATGATCCGGAAATCAAAATTTTACTCACGATATCTGACAATGTCTTTCCTTGTTTGAAAACGTCGAAGGGATATAAAATTCTCTCATAGTGATTCTTCAATATGCTGCCTACGCTTCGTCCAGATGGGTAACCCAGTTTATTAGCGATTTTTGCCCATCTTCTTTCTTTAGTCACAGTTTCTATACCACCTGCAAAACGATAAACAACAGTACAAATTCAAAACATGAATCTTACGAATCAAATATATGACAAACGAAATATATAAATGAAGCTCACCTTCATCCGTGACTATTTTATGTAAGGAATACAAGTCCAGTGCCTTACGTTCTACAAGTGGGATCTTTAAGGAGGAACCTTGAAGCTCCCAGAATTTTGCGATTTGATCTAAGAAATTAAGCTTTATCCTGGTCTTGGCTTCTAATTCATTTAACCTTTGTATTCTCGGAACAAATTTGAACTTGTCCACATCCACGGCAAACGGTGGCTGCCAATTCTGCAACAGAATCACAGTACCTTATATAGATTATACTCTGCAAAAAGTATAATTTTATTTTGACGAGAGTAAAGAAAGAAAGTTTCGTTTCTTTTCTATCTATAAAGCTCAAGTTTTTATTAGTATTCCGAATTTAAAATCGATATGATTATACTTTGTATCAACGGTTATTACTTATTTATGCAGCTCAAGATCCCATACTACTTTGGATCCCATAACTAACTAGTGACGCAGCTAGTCTACGTGGCCCTTGCCTTGTCGTAATGTAACCACGTTCGATAACAACGATAAGAGGATAATTGAGTTTTTAATAAACTTTTGTTTCCTTCAATATATCGAAGTTCGCGTTAACGAATTAAATGTGAAATAAAAGTGTGTCAATATGTTTATTTAATCTCGCGTTGCTACATTGATCTAATAAATATTGTAGATGTAATAAATATTTACAATATCATACGTATTATTATATAAAAAATATTCTAATATAACACTATATATATATATATATATATATATATATATATATATATATGTTATATATAATATATATATATATATA